CAAGCCAGCCCAGGGGCCATTGAGAGCAAGATCAGAGCAAGGCAAGAGTGGACAGATGGAGGACTGGTGGAGGAAATGATGAGGTCAACAGAGCCTCTCAGGGGTCAGTGAGATTAAAAGGCAAGGGACCATGGTTATAATATGACAAAGAGAGGGTGTACTTTGTCCCACTCTGTTCATAAGAAACAGATTGCCCTCTTTGCAGAGCAGTGAGAAATCTCTTGTAGGTCAAGGACAAACAAACCTATGCATCTGCACGAGCTTCATGTTGGAAAATAATACAGATAAATGAAGGAAAAAAGCCCCAAAGTGCTCCAAGTTGATGTGACACCATAGCCACTGGTAAATGCAGGAAGTGAGTGATTCATTGTGCTACAGAAATCAGGCAGGAAGACAGAAGACTTGGTTGGTGGTGGGACTCAAGGGTCCACACTCATTCTCCAGACTTTGCTGGGATAAAAGCAGAAACCACACCCTGACCTGCCTCAGGGACAGAGGACACACTCTGTCCTCGGCCACTCTTTGCTGACTTCCTGTTAACAAGGAGGAAGTGGCCTCAGAAGTGGCGCTGGTCACTGTGACCAGCAAATCTGAGGTCACCACTGTGTGTGAGAGAGCTGAGAATGGAAACTGAGGCAAGCTGGGAATTTTGTCATTGAGGAGCACAGATTGTGAGAAGTTTAGAGGTGAGCTGGGGTTTAAATGTGTCCTTCCGCCCATCTAGCAGAATGGGAAGCCGTGCTTGAGCAAAATGTATGTGAGAATGTTCAGTCAACTTTGAGCATTCATAATACATGAACAGATGATGGACAAGTTGACAGATGTTGAGCCCTGGTTCCAAAACCAGAGAAGGCAGTAGGCTCCTTCAGCTGTGTACCTGAAGGCCATTCAACCAACAGAAAAAATTTTTTTTTTGAGACAGAGTCTTTCCACATAATTCAGGTTGGCCTTGAACTCACAGTTGCCCAGGCTAGCCAGAAACTCATTGAGATCCTCCAGCCTCAGCCTCCTGAGTATTGGGATTACAGATGTGTGCCACCATACCCAGCTAACTGAAGACCATTTTATACATGATTTTGGATTTTTTTTTTTTTTTTTTTTTTGCAGGATCAAATTCCTTAGGTCAAAACTGGTCATCTCCAGGGGTCTGATGTGGGTTCCAAAGACAAGCTAGGTCAGCTGCCACAGCATTCATGTGTCGGCAGGACTATCAGACTAGGAAATTAGGAAAACTCACTAACAAATAATGACACCTTTTTAGCTAAATGAAAAACTTCACGAGAAGATGACGATACAACAGCTAACAACCCCCACACTACAGCCCCAGCTGGCAGCTGCTATCAGCAAGAGCAGGCCCATTCCATTCAGGATGTTTATCAAGAAATTAAATAAGATTTTTATGGGGGCTAAGTTGACAAATGAGTCAGAGAAAACAGTAAATCATATGTCACTGTTTCCTAAACATCAGTCATCCATGCTCTGCCTTTGCAATTCCTGACACTGTATATCACACCAACTTAAGAGTCTCCTTTATTTTTCCACTCTCTTTTGTATCAGTTATACAGATGAAAGGGCTTTATTTTGGCAGATTCACAAATACACATAACATATTTTGATCATTTTGTCCTCTTCCACACCCTTGCTCCACCCTCTCTCCCAATTCCACATTTTTGGGGACATTTCAATATGTACTTTTTGCTTATGGGTTTTCTTTAAATTGACTCACTTTCTACCTTAAATTTATATCAGAAGCTAATGAATTTGACTTTCTAATTATATTTTTTCTATCCAAAATGCAGCTCATGACAACTATAACAAAGATTGTAAGATACTTTGGGACAATGGGCTCAGATAACAGAATTGGGGTACAACACAACTCAGCAGCTGCAACAACAGCCTCTCAAAGTGAGCATAGCAGACACAAACACACAATCCCTAGAGGGGCACAGAGCACACTGCTGGAGCACACACAGCAGGTGGGGGAAGGTGCAGTCTCCCAGAATCAGTGTGCAGGGACTCCGGGCTGATGACGGATCTTAGCTCAAGATGGTGGCATTGCTTGAACCACTAATAAGCATTTGGAATCATCTAACACAGTCTATATATTGGAGGATGTCCTCGGCTCTCAGGGACAGAGGAGGGCTCACTTTGGGTGGCGCTAATGGTAGACTCTGTCCTCCTCAACTGAAGTGTGTAGAGACCCTAGGAAGTGAAAGAACGGAGTGTGAGCCAATGGCCTGGGAAGGTTTAGATTAAAAGAGGACCTCAGCAGACCCCTCTTCTTAAAATTAGGTTCAATCAGTTGGGATCCAGCCAAGAAAGATCCACCTAATGATGGGGCTGCCCTCATAGGTACCGCGCTGCCGTGGAAGGGACAGAGCCTCTGGTACTAGTGCAGGTCAAGTACAGGTCCATCGACCACTGATCTAGTATAAGATTGGAACCCCAGGAGTGGAGTCTAAGACGGGGTTTCTGATGCACATGGCTTATTGTGGGTCTTGAAAGGAAGGGAGGAAAGTAGAGTAGGAAGGGACAACAGCAGAGAATGTCACTGTAGGTCAGGTCTGGTCTTGGCCTGACCCATGGAACATGAATCACACCACATAGTTATTCCTCTTGAAGCACAGCAGCTGGTGGGGAGGACTTTAACACCACTGTATTAAACTGGTCTTGCTATGTGTACCCTCCAGGGTGGGGAGTTCCTGTTGGCTGGAGCAGATCTCCAGAGAAGCAAGAAACTGAGATCCATTTGAGTTTAACATCCACTGTTGCTAGGAAAGGTGCCTCCACCTGATGAAGGGGACTTAAAAAAATAGCTTCCAAAAAAATAGGTCAGGTGTGGTGATGCATGGCTGTAATCCCAGCACTCTGGGAGGCTGATGCAGGAAGATTACAAGTTTCAATCTAGCCTGGGAAACTTAGTAAGACCCTCTCTCAAAAAGAGGGGCTGAGGATGTAGGTCAGTGCAAAGACCCTGGGTTCACTCCTCAGTACTACAAAAAAAAAAAAAAAAAGGGGCCCAAGAGGGGGGCCTTTGAATGGTCTTTTGACTGGTAGGACCTAAATGAGTCTGTAACTAATTTTTTTTTTTTTTTTTTTTTTTGGTACCGGGGACTGAACTTGGGTCCTTGTGCTTGTGAGGCAGACGCCAGAACCACTGAGCTAAATCCCCAGCCCATGATTTTTTTTTGTTTTGTTTTGTTTTTGGTACCGCTGAGCTAAATCCCCAGCCCCCAGCCCATGAGTCTGTAACTAATGCCTTGAGTTCATTTCTCAGAAACAACTAAAGGTCAATTTTTTTTTCCTTCTTGGCTCTTATTCTGTCCTTGACAGTCACAACTAGTAAAAATCTTCCTGAGATGAAATTCCTTTTTTTTTTTTTTTTTTTTTTTTTTTTTTTTTTTGGATTTTGAGACAGCATCTCACTATGTATTTGAGATTGACCTGGAACTCACTATGTAGTCCAGGCTGGTCTCGAACTCATAGTGATACTCCTGCCTCAGCCTCCCGAGTGCTGGGATTACAGGCATGAGCCACCACGCCTGGCAAAGAAATTCTTATAGTTGTTACAAAATCCTCATCACACAGGGGCAGATCCAGATTTCAGGTAGTCTGAGGCTTGTTCCATTTTGGAAACCCTCCTTATGAGAAAATTGCTAATGCAAAATGCCCATAGTTCCCAGGTGTAGCTCTGGGCAAAGAAACACCTGAGGACCCTTGAGTGTTACTAGATGCAACATAAATCTATGCCTGTCCGCATTACTTTTAGCTATATCCACAGAACACTGTACTACTAATTTAGTTTTAAAACTCAATTAATTTTAAAAAATATATACCTAACGCATCCTAAATAATAATCATGGTGAAAATCACAATTTGGTGTGATAAGTACATGTATTTTAAATAGTCTTCAAATAAATCCCTAAGCTCAAACAAATTGTTACACCTAAAGTCATCTCATGTTCAAGTGTAAATGGGCTTGCTTTGGGTAAGTGGTAGTAGGTATCTGTTTTAGATGCTCCCTTCTCTGCCCTAGGCTTATTCTCCCAGGAAGGAATGGGACCAACAGTTGGTCACGTCTCCCTGTGGTTGTTCTATGACTGTTAACACAGGGAAGGGTCCATCCCAGGGATGTGTGTGATATTGAGCAGTTTGCAGTCACTCTGTGGCTTAGTCTCTCATTTATAAAGTGAGTATCTAATGAAATGATCAATGGAAAAAATATTTCTTAGGATAATGCTTGGATTATGGTAATTGCTTCCTAAATGTTGGCCATTCTGATAACTATTATTATCAGAATTATTTTTAAAAACCTGATTTTACTAAATTGCCAGGCCAAGATAAAAAGTGTTCATACACATAGCCACCTCCTTTTTCAGTGCAGTGTAAAGAAGTAACAACATATTCAATGCATGCTAAAATTTTGCAAGTTAAATTACTGTTTAAAGTGTGAATCACAAATTAACGCATATATTAACATGAGCAATGAAGAGTGAACATTAATAATTAAAAGCTCAGTATGCTCATCTAAATAGATGTATTTGGTGCTGGAACATCTACATTTCTAACCAAGTATGTGGTGTGTGTGTATGTGTGTGTGTACATGTGTGTGTGAGGCTTCAATGTAAGTCAGTGAGCACCTGCCTCATCCAGGAGAACAGACGTCATTGATGAGGCATCTCTAGTGCTGTAAGTTAGTGCCATTCTAACCCTGATAGGAGAAGGCACTTACAGAGAACCCAGAAGGGAGTTACCCAAGCAAAGGAGGTTTCACCGAAATCAGGATTCACTGAAAAACCAGCTCTTGGCTCTTGGATTCCTTGCTTCTGTATCTCATTGTATAAACTTGGACTCTTCTATCTAGTTCACGGATCTGCTCTCCCAGATTCTTGTCATTATTTTGGTTAATTTATAAAATTTCATTTTCAAATTTAAAAAAACATAAGAAGCACATTGGAGACTGCGGCTACTCCTCCTGGTCAAATCTGTAAAGTTCTCACCTCACTCCTTCAGTCTGGGAGAGCTGGTCAACCTGTTCCATATTGATCTGGTGACATTTTGAGCTTGTAAGTCTCCCAAGGAGCTCAGATCTCTGGGTCACCTGGAAATAAAATATTCTTGGTTTCATCATAAAGGTTGGAACCCAGATTAGACAGTGGACTTCATGGAAACCATAAACCTGGAGTCTAAAAATGTCCTCTAAGAGTTGTGGGAAAGAAATGAGCCAGCTCCAGTCCTTGTGATTTTATGTTGCCTTGCCATCCATTTGATTATACTCTGTGAGTTGAGAAGAGAGCCATTGACAGAGCCCAACCACAGTGGCACCTTGATCTTGGATCCTCAGGCTCCAGAATTCTAAGAAGTAAATTTCTAGTTGGGTGTGGTGGTGCAATCTGTAATCTTAGAACTCTCAGGGGCTGAAGCAGGAGGATCACAGGTTTGAGCCTAGCCTGGGTAGCTTAGTGACTTAAAGAGGCCCTACCTCAAAATTAAAAAGAAGAAGAAGAGGAAGAGGAAGGAGAGGAAGGAGAAGAAGAAGAGGAAGAGGAAGAGGAGGAGGAGGAGGAGTCATTGTCTGGGGATGTAACTCAGTGCAAAGGCCCTGGGTTCAATCCCCAGTACAAACAAAAAATAAATTTCTATTGTTTAAACCATCTGGTCTATAGTATTTTGTTAGGATAGCCATAGCTGACTAAAATACTAACAAACCTTTCCCATCTATAGATAAATTTCATTAACTGTTAAGGATATGTCCTTCTAGAATTACACATATGCATGCATGTCTGTGTGTGCATGCATGCACATGTAGATAGTTTGGATCTGGCAGGTCTGCTCCTCCCAAGGGCCATGTGTGTAAGGCTTGGTCTCCAGCTCAGGGTGCCACTGAAATGTGGTGGAGCCTTTAAGAGGTGGGGCCTGCAGGAAGGAAGTGAGGTCATGGGGTGTGTGGCCTTGGAGGGATATTAAAATTCCAGCCCTTCCTGTGTCTCTCCCTTTCCTGACCACCATGAGGCCAGCAGCTTTGCTCCATAACCTGCTCCTCACCATGAAATTGTGAACCAAAATAAATCTTCCTTTCTGTGAAGTTGCTTATCTCAGTTATTTTGTCACAATAATAAAAAGCTGACTAATACACACATACCACACACCTACATATTTTTTCACAAAGGGATCATACTGCACATACTGTCCTGTGATGTGCATTTACATTTTATGATCTAACACGGACATCTTTCAGTACCAGGAATTGAACTCAGGACCTTGCACTTGCCAGGCAGGCACAGCACCACTGAGCTACACCCCAGCCCCAGAAATCTTACATATTAACCCAAATTCATCCTTTCAACCTATGAACATTTAGGTTGCTTTCAGTTTTTGCTATTTTTGAACTTCAAGCAATATTGCAAATTTTTTCAAATATCCTTTAATACACTGCTAATTGCAGTACTGTTTGTTTTTATAGTACTGGGGATTAAACCCAAGACCTTCACACTAAGCTACATCCCCAAACCTTTTCTATTTTTTCAGACAAGTTCTCCTTAAATTGCTAAATTGCCAAGGTTGTGCTTGAACTTAAATTTAAAATTTTTCTTTTGTAAATTTGAAGGTGACTGTTTCATTTTCTTCTAAAATCCACTGTTAAGACAGGTCTGAAGCCACTGTGATTTCTAATACTGATACCATTTTTTTCTCTCTGAAATTTTGTTACAAAAATTGTTTTGACCCAATCTTGTACAATTTCAAATGCTATACCTTAGTGTGGGTCTATTTTCACCTATTATTTGGAATAATTATGGACCCTCTCAATCCAGAAAACCACATCCTTTACTTCTTACAGGGTTTCTCAAAAATTTTTTACTAATTTTTCTTCTTCATTTTCATTGTTCTTTCAGGAATTCCAATTATTAGATGTTAGATTTCCTAGGTTAGTCTTTATCTCTCTGGTTTGCACATTTCTGTATTTTTGCTCTGTATTCTTTGATTTTTTTTTAAACTTGATTTTGCAATTCTTTTGTGTGTCTAGGTTGCCATAGTTCTACTTTGCAAAGTTTTTTTCACCCTAAATATTTCTTTATTTCAGAGCATTCTTTTTATTTTTATTTACTTATTTTTTGTACCAGGGATCAAACTCAGGAACTTGTGCTTGCAAGGCAGGCAGCAGAAACACTGAGCGAAATCCGTGGCCTAGCCCAGAGCGTTCTTTATGTGCTATTGATGTAATAGGTTTTCCTGCTAAGGATTTCTGTAATGGCTTGCTTACTTTTCTCTCTCTCCCTTCCCCACTCCCTTCTCTGTCATTCTTTCTTTCACCTTTCTTCTCCTTGCCTAGGGTTAGCTTCCACTAAGTCGCTGTTCTCCCTTTTTGTTTGCTTTGGCTTTCTGTCTTCACTACAGGAAATTTTCTCTTCAGTCGTCTTCCTTATATTTAAGAGTGATGCACCAAAGAATCCACTGAAAACTCTTAGCCAAACGAAGGACTAGCTAGCTGTAGGGTTCACTCTAATGACAACTGACCACATGATTTTCCTTGTCAAGAAAAGGGATAAGAGGATCCCGGGGTCAGTATATTTCATTTCCTTCTCTTATGCTGGTCTGATTTCCTGGAGAGGGGGTTTTTAGTCTCTTGCTGAAAGAGGATTTAAGCCTGGTGGCCACATTCTAAAAGCTGACTAGATGAGAGGATTCCACCCACAACACTGTACACAAGTACCACATTTTATTTTTTAAATATGAAGCCCTCATTTTTATAGTACCTGTGTCCTTCTATGCAGAGATCCCCACTGTACTTTCTCTTAGAGTGGAGAGTAGTGCTAGGGTTCTGTTTTTTAAACATACTTTCACCCAACACATTTGCTTTTTAACAAATGTGCATCCCAATTTACAAAGGCAACTTGAACTGACAATTTCTAAGCTTTTGTGGATTGTGGGATATGAAATGTACTGTTTCCCAGCTTCTCCCCAATAAGTTAGATACCACTCATTCAAAAATTATTTTGCTCTTTCTCCTTCTTAATATTTTGGGTTTATGGCTTTTGAAACTTTACTGTCATTTTAGTGGGGTTTCAGGATAAGCAAAAATAAGAGTGTTTCACTGAAGTGGGGACACAGCTTTTCCACTGTTAAAAAAGCAATCATGCCAGAGTCGGCCTTACAGGGTTATTGTAGAATTACATGACTTGATACCTGTAAAGTATACAAGCATGGCTAACACATAGTAAACACTCAATATTTGCCATTGCTATAACTGTGTCTCATTTGTACTTGTTCCTAATTGCCTATTTACAGAGTTTGTGCATTTTGTATTGGAGTGACTGTCTTTTCATCTTGTTATTAAATACTCATGTACTTTTGTAGACCAATAACAAAGAAGCAGGAATTAACACTTGGGGGACTAATTTAAAATATTGGGCCAGGGATGTAGTTTGGTGGTAGAGCACTTGCTTAGTATGCATGAGGTCCTAGGTTCAATCTCCAGTACCATAAAAAATGAAACAAAAAAAAATGTTAAGTATTTGGGAGGTAAAAAGCAATGAAAGAGCGAGATACAGAGATTTCAGTAGTTACCAGTATACACAAATTCTTCTAAGAGATAAGTGTTTTAGGGTACTATGCTATATATCTTTGTTTCTTTAATAACAGTTAATGATTATAATGTCTATTGTACCATTAGAAATGAATAAGTGACTGTCAGAAAAAGACCAAAATAAAATTATAAACTTGACTAAAATATGAAGTAAATAAAAGGCTAGACGAACAAACTATTCAAGTTACATTGAGACTCTTTCCTTGTGACAACAGTTGGGAGTGACCAAATAAACAAAACTGAGTATTTCAGTAAAGACAGAGAAACAAAAGGCTTTATGAAAAGCACTTTTACTGGGGTTCCCAGGACCATGTGGGAGTGCAGAGGCCAACAACCATCTGGTACCCAGGACCTCTGGCAGAACATGTATCTGTAGCAAAGAACTCAAGACCATTCACTTTCTCTCTAATTCTAAGCTCATCAAAGACACCTTTTGGAGACCAGGAAGGCCCCAAAGACCCCGGAGGGGGTCTCTACAGCTGCCTGCCTGCCTGCGATCCCCGCAGCCTCACATAGTAAACACTCAATATTTGCCATTGCTATAACTGTGTCTCATTTGTACTTGTTCCTAATTGCCTATTTACAGAGTTTGTGCATTTTGTATTGGAGTGACTGTCTTTTCATCTTGTTATTAAATACTCATGTACTTTTGTAGACCAATAACAAAGAAGCAGGAATTAACACTTGGGGGACTAATTTAAAATATTGGGCCAGGGATGTAGTTTGGTGGTAGAGCACTTGCTTAGTATGCATGAGGTCCTAGGTTCAATCTCCAGTACCATAAAAAATGAAACAAAAAAAAATGTTAAGTATTTGGGAGGTAAAAAGCAATGAAAGAGCGAGATACAGAGATTTCAGTAGTTACCAGTATACACAAATTCTTCTAAGAGATAAGTGTTTTAGGGTACTATGCTATATATCTTTGTTTCTTTAATAACAGTTAATGATTATAATGTCTATTGTACCATTAGAAATGAATAAGTGACTGTCAGAAAAAGACCAAAATAAAATTATAAACTTGACTAAAATATGAAGTAAATAAAAGGCTAGACGAACAAACTATTCAAGTTACATTGAGACTCTTTCCTTGTGACAACAGTTGGGAGTGACCAAATAAACAAAACTGAGTATTTCAGTAAAGACAGAGAAACAAAAGGCTTTATGAAAAGCACTTTTACTGGGGTTCCCAGGACCATGTGGGAGTGCAGAGGCCAACAACCATCTGGTACCCAGGACCTCTGGCAGAACATGTATCTGTAGCAAAGAACTCAAGACCATTCACTTTCTCTCTAATTCTAAGCTCATCAAAGACACCTTTTGGAGACCAGGAAGGCCCCAAAGACCCCGGAGGGGGTCTCTACAGCTGCCTGCCTGCCTGCGATCACCCGGCAGCAGGCGCGCGACCTCCCGGCCTGCGCGACAACAGACCCAGGAAGGAAGGTAGCCGTGCGGGTGCCCTTGAAACACCCCCACGCCCCACCCCCGTTCTCAAAGCTCCTGATTGGGCCAGTCCTTAG